TTTGTACGTCTTCATTAACAGATTTCTTTCCTGATTCAACTTTCACAATATCCCAGGTGGTTTTAATTTTATTGTTTGATTTTAGAATTTGGCTGTTATAGTTATTCTGTTTGGCTTCTTTAATGACTTTTGACAAAATTTTACAGTACATTTTGTAGTGACTTTTTAGTCTTGGATCATTACTGTCCCTACTGGCCAAATATAGTTGTCTTTTGTGTTTACATGAAGTTTTTATTCCAATTGTTATCCAGGTGGATTTGTTTTTAGTTTCATTTTTGACTATCTTTAAGGGAAAGCTTGAATAAAAGATCCTCAGATAGTTAGAAACCTCAGACAATAAGTAAAATAAATACATAACTAACATGCGAACTAGGATTTACAAAATGACACATACATTTATAATGGCATTTTACTTGAATACTACTGGTAGAAACATGAATGTGATTTCTGAGAAGCTCCTGTCCAATTTCTGCACATTAAAAAGAAAAACCAAACAAAGAAAGCCTTCTTGAGTTTCCAAAGTACATATTCAAACATGAAATAAAACTTTTTGTTTTGTATTTATTGCTTTTTCAACGGGCCGTTTCCCACTAAGTTTATCTTTTTACTTTGGACAAAACAGTGAATTTACTAAACAAAGACCCAGGATAATCTGTCCCTGGTTAATTTGGAGTCTATTATACTCTTATTAAAAAATTCTGATTGATTAAGATTTCAGAATTTATTGTTACTATTCATCACCAAGTAAACAATATTCCATTTTAAAAAAAATTAAGTTTTTCCTAATCACAGTTTCGGTATGGCTGTAATTAAAAGTTAGCTGATCACTAACACAAGTGGACAGGGTTACAATTCAGTTAGAAAGAACTAGAAGGATGATTCATGAAGGGGTCACATGAACAAGTTTGGGGAAGCACTAATCTGGACTATACAGCACTGAATGGAAGTACAAGAATGATAAAATGTAAAGGATTTGGAAAGAAGTGATAATGGCCTATTTCATGTACTATCCCAGAATTTGCCTGGATGGCCTGCAGAAAACCATGAAAGGCATGTCAGGCCAGACAGCATGCCAGTGGAGATTTTAAGTGATTTTAAAGTGTTCCTACCATACCAAATGACTCATTTTCAAGGATTAAGTGTGTATATATGAATTTTTAAGTTTCTGTCAAGTAGTTTCTAAATACTGGGTTTTAAAAAAATCACCATCACCAGGATATAAAAGGCACATCTGCAAGGTTTCTCTTCAATAACGCCTTAAAAAATGTACTGCATGCATGTGTAAATGAACATGTCATATGTTTCTCATCATCTGTCTATATAATTCATAATCTCATTACTTATTAGTGATGTACTCATCGACACTGTTCCTGTTAACAGGCTCAAATTGTGATGCATAAGTACATTTAACTTACATATATGTAATTTGTAATCTTATGTGCCTCTGCCTCCACTCTCCCAATCCATAATTTTCAAAAACATAAACCTATACATATACAGAAATTCACCCAACCTATACAACATGAAGATGGAGGCAGCATGTGCCTTTGAAATGTCAGCAACACTTCCCACATCCACATGCTGTAAATACCGAAGGGCTTAATTCAAATCAAAAGTTAGCCACCAATTATGTCTGAAGTCACTACTGAAGATCTTCCCAAAAGCACTTTGTTTGACTTGGGGCATGAGAGCAAAAGCAGCATGAGGGGAAAAATAATATTGATTAGGCCATGGACCCTTACAAAACACTTTTTCCAAGTGGCACATATGGATAAGCTAGTACATTGTTAAAAATGCACATATACATATTATCAGCTCATCTACATAGGCAATATATTCTGCGCCAGCAACAGAATTTATGATAATTGTCGAGTTAATAAACAAAATTTACCCAATGGTGGCATCAATGGGAGAGATTTATCAATATTCTGGGTTGTACTTGGCAGGATTGGATACAAAGGATTAAGTTCCTGCCAGAGGTGGCCAAAAAGAGAATTCAACTGGGAAACGCCACTAAACCAGCACTTTTACCAAAATTCATAATCTATGACAATTTACGACGTTGGGTTTCGGGGGTCTGTTATATTCAATGTTATTCCTTTGCATAGGGCACAACGGCGACGCTAAATTGATGAAAGCATCGACCTGGGGAACAAGCAAACCGCTTATCAGTTCTCGCAAATGTGTAGCAGGTTTGCTGTTTTTTCCCCGGCGTAACACAATGCATGCAGTTCTTGTAAGTCGTACGCCTTCGTTATGAAATAATTTAGAAATGTGAGATTTATAACTGGTGCCCACAGCAAAACAAACGGCTGAAGAGTAATTAACATACCTTCACTGGTAGGCAGGAGTTTATGAGGGATAATATGCGACGCTTCCTCCCTTCCCCATCAAATATATTTAAAACTATAATACCACTGTTTGATGAACAAAGTCGACAAACACTACCGGTATTATTTTTTCCCTGCGAGCGTTTCACTGCATGCATTTTCTATATATTTATGGCACTATTAAGTGCTAAATTCCTTCGAATCTAATATAAATTACTTCACTGCAAACGCCAAACCACACTACAGACCATCCCCGCAACCCCGCAATGTTACTGTTAAGGCTGTAAAGCACAACAAAGGCGGGATGAAATGCGAACCGCATTGAATGTTTGATCCATAGATACGCTCAAGATCCACAAGATATTTCTCCACTGCTCCGAATATAGAGTTAATGTCGTAATAACTACTGCCATCTATACTTCCTCTTAGATCGGCAACGGTAGTTCGATAACTACGAGGGTTCATTACATCATGCCCCACTTAAAACCTATTACAGTAGAATCTCCTTTTAACGTTCCTCAGTATAAGTTGCCTGCTTCATGCTGGTCGCTTACTTTACTTATTCTTTTGCCCTGACGATGGAAGTGGCATTTTCCTCTGAAATATGGTTGGCATTCATTGAACTACTGTCCCAGAATAAGGAACTCTTCTCATAATTCTCACTGTGAGAGAAACTCAACTCCTATCTCCTTGGAATTCCATTTAAGTCACTTTTTGTAACAGTTTTAATTCATCTTCCTCTTTCTCCAGTATGTTTCGTAAATTTTATTTGATTTATTCATTCTTAATTCTGTCTTCTTTTTTTTAATTACTCTTAGAAATTTTTTTATTGCTAGTGGGGTGGGACTAAGTCCCTTGTACTGCGGCCACTTCTGGCCTATTGTACCAGCCCCAGATGAGAGGTGAGGGTGATTGTGGAGCAATTGGTGGGATGCAGATTGGCAGGGGAAACTGAAGTACTCGAAGAAAACCTGCCCCAGCGCCACTTTGTCTACCACAAATCCCACTTGACCAGACCCGGGATCGAACCCGGGCCGACGCGGTGGAGAGCCAGCAACTAACCGCTTGAGCTATGGCGTGGCCTTCTTGGATTTTACTTTCATTCCTCATTTTGAAGGGCCATATTTCGGTTTTGGATGTTAAACAGGTTTCAAATACGAAACTTCTTTGTTAATTAACTGTAACATAGGCAACATGTTTTGTCCGATTAAATAGCAATCTCAGAGCTTTTCACATTTATTATGTTGCATCTTTCAATAAGTTGTATAAAACATGGCAAATACATGGAGATCATCATTTAATCAATCAAAGCTTTTTCACTGTTTTCATTCTTTGCATTTATGTGAAGCTTTATTATTCCAAATGACACTATTTAATAGTTCATGGGCTAGTAAACTGGTTTGAATTCATTTATTTGTTTCAATTAGGGCAAAAACATCTTTATCTAGTGCTCTTTTCACTGACTATCATAATGATCAAATCAGCAAACTAATTTGATTTATGTAAGGTGCAAAGTTCATGATGGGATGAATGGGGGTACACAATAAACAGTACTGGTTTCAGTGCAAGAAATGATGGATGCCCATACCCTTCTGTTATATCCTATTCATTTCCTCTTTAAACAGAAGCCTCATTCATGCTCACTATATAGCCTCACCATGGACCACACAGAAAACAGTCTTCGACAGTTCTTCTATTGCTGCATCTTTATTGTGCCATGGCTTAGCAATGAATGACGTCTCTTATTAAGCTACTCGGTCATGTCACAATATGTTTTGCAGCAACACAACCTACCATCTGAATCCTCCTAGCTGTTCCAAAGAGCTCTGATAAAGACATTAGCAATATTAAGTACAGTTGTTGTAACTGTTCATTCTAATTGGTGGACTATTGTGTATTAATTATACCTATATTAAGTAAATATCAAGTAAATACAGAGAGAATCCGGCAGATAGCCAACTCGTACACGCAGAAGGGACATAGTTCAAGTTTTGCTATGTGGACAGGAAGTAACATCTGGCACTTTCCTGGAATTCTGGCAGTTTCAGCAAAGTTGGAAAGACTTTGAGAATTTGAGAGCTGACAGCTTGGAACAGCGATAACTTAAAAGTGGGACGGCTGGAGCCTCATCCCCTGATCGTAATGCATCAAGGGGCTGTCAACCTTAGCGTCAAGTCAGCATCTGCCAGAATCACATAGCAAAGCAACATGATTGGAAATTCAAAATTTAGGGAACCTCCTAGTTTGAAAACTTAACCAATGGCAAAAGTGGAGGAGTGGATTTCTCTTGGAGTCTGGGGTTCGTGGACCTCAGGATTCAGAGAGAGTGCATTCCACCTCAAGGAGTCTTCATCCAACTTTTGGCAAAGTCAGTCTCAAATTTACAACTACATTTCTTCAGAAAAGAAAGTATTACATGTTAATTACAATTAAGTGTAAACATTAGAGTTTCCATAATATTCAGTGAACGGAAGTGAATTAAATCATTTGTAAGTGCAAAAGTCTGAAGTGGTGTATGTGATTATAGCGTAAGGTTCTTCTTGCCCTGCCTGAGCCAGACCCGTATAAGACCCCGGGACAGGAACTCACCTCTACCAGTTACAGAGCAGAACCCAGATACTCCTGTCTTTACCTACTTGCGAGACACCTAAGGGTGTACAGGAAGCGAACTCTCACCTACCAGCACCAACAACCACAATTCTCCTCCCTTCCCACCTAACTCCTGGACATCCACGAGAAGAGGGAGGACAGTGATAAGTGGAGCACAACGTAGGATCAAGGGAGGATGGTGATAAGGGCAACCAACGTAAAGGGGCCAACGAAGTGAGCGGTTATACTGTATTCCTGTTGTCACTGCATTTCACAAGTGTTCCTCAAGCCTTCAAAGTCTGTTCATTTGCCATGTTATTATCATCAATTACAGGAAACTGAAAAATACAGGTTTGGGGCGGCCTCCAATGACATAAGATTCAAATCAGATTTCTTGAAAATTCATACAGTGGTTCTGAACTTAAAACACAAGGATGAACAGGCATGGAACAGCAGTGGAAAACTTGATAGGTATTAATTTGCTACATTACATTACATTTCATTGCATTCCATGGATCCAAAGTTAGTCAAAATGACTGTAGAATGTGGAATATGTCATATAAATACAAAATATATGTACAGTCCCAATGGAGTTCTCATACAAGAGAAACCAAGAATACACAATAACTACACACAAGGCTATTTAAAGATACATAAGTTATTTTCTAGACAATAGGTATTCATCAACAGAGTAGAATGAATGTGCATTTAAGTATCGTTTCAGTGCTATTTTAAATCTTGTCTTTTCATTCATAAGACCTTTGAGATCAGATGGCAGGTTATTAAAAATTTTGATCCCAGAATAATATGCGCTTTTCTGACTGCATGAGAGGTTAGCAATTGGTTTATGAAACAGTGTTTGTGTCTTGTGTTAACCCTGTGTACATCCGTATTTGTCTGAAAATGTTCTTCATTATTTGTAATAAAGTTTATTAATGAATATATATATTCACAAGGAAACGTTAAGATCTGTAGTCTCTTAAACAGATCTCTACGCGAATTACGGGATTTGACACCCATCACGATTTTAACAATTTTCTTTTGCAATGTAAATACATTTTTACACATAATATCCAAGCAGGAAATGGAGACAACAGGAATTTTTCAGTATGACAATGTAAGAGTTTAACACTTTATAACTTGGCACAGATTTGAAAAGACATTGCTATTCACAGAATGCTGTGGGCAAATTATGACAGTAGGAGGTATCTAGTTGCTGCAGATATTGCCATCTGTGCAGTGATAAACCAATTACTGCTGCAGACAGTGATGTCAATTAATATATGTATAGAAAATGGGCTTGACAGTGGCCCTTTGTAATAAGATGCCATGTTTAGGAAGGCGAGTCATTTTGCTGACAGCAACCTATTTGTCTGTGGTCACCTTAAAAGCTACAACATGATATTCATAAATGGAAATGTTTGTATAAATTATATGTTACATTAAACTGATTATTTCTTCTGAAAGTAGAAATGCAGCTCTTTCAGTTCCTTAACTGCTCCTTTTGCAGCCTAAACACAAAAGAAAAAAAGAAATTAATGTATGTCTCTTCTATATATAGTAACCTATATCAACACTGACCAGAAAACCTTGTCTCTGTAGGTTGTGGTGTAAGGGCCGAGAAGGCCCACGCCTTATACATTCATTCATTCATTTATGTATTACCAAGTTTTTTATTAATGAAACTTGATTACAGAGTAGTGCTGGGCCAGAAGCAACATATTTTAAATCTTGCATAGATTATCTTCAGTGAGCCAGCCATGATGTGGGATTGTACAGCCAAACTATGCCATGCAAATTTCTCTTTGTGCTCAGGCAGTATAGTTGTAGTACTTAGGGCTGACAGTCCTCCGACGCGGAGTAGGAGAAGTATTGGTTGTGGCGGGGAGAGCTCCAGCATGCTGACAAGTGTGGCAGGGAATGCAGTACATGTGTTCTCAAAAGGAAATAACTTCTTACATCATTGTATTGCATAGTGATGGGGTGATGGGGGTTTAGTCTCGTTGATGTTCACACATCCGATGTTATGTTTTAAGTGCCGAATGGCAGACTATTATGCACTATACACTATTATACACTTTTCACTGTTATATACCTGAAGAGTTTATTTACATACTACACGGGTCTATTCTAAAGGGGCAACACCGGCAATGTCCGCATAGATATCATCTCCACATGTCTGTCCTTCCTCGTCACCATCAGATGAATCGGAGCTATCATCAGAACTGTCATCACTATCACCGCCAACATGGAAGACGAACTCTCGTCTTGCGTCCAAAAGGCCTTCCCATGCCATTAATTGTTGCTCAATGTGCCTTACATGTTGGCACCTAAGTTGCCATTCTTCTGCAGTTATGGAAGCCAATTTTTGGTCTGCCAGTTTAATGACATCATCCATCTTAAATGTGGTATTGTTTTGAGCAACCCAATTTTTTACGGTGGCCCATATTAACTCAATTGGGTTGAGTTCTGGGTGATATGGAGGGATTGTGTTCTGCAAAGATTCCATCTATTTTATAGGAAAGGTATTTCGGTTTGGGTGGTAGGATCATATTATATATGTCTGGATTCCACAATGATGAAAAATCAGTGTTACTGAAGGTAATAGGTGGAAGGTGATATTTTAGCCAGGATATCATAAAACCTCTTCTTGAATTTGAGTTAGGGGCTCTGTTTAGTGGTACAGTATGGTAGGGAGCATTATCAATGACAAGGACAGAATTTGGGGGAAGGTTATAAATAAGTCCCTCCTTTAACCATTTTTCATAATTGGTGTAGTTCATGTCACTGTGGTAGTCTCCTGTTTTTTGGTGGGACTTTAGGTGGACATAGGCATTAGGGATGAAACCTTGCTGTCCCCTAGCATGGATAACAATGAGCCCTTGGCCTTTGGACACGCGGGAAATAATCCCTAGTTGGATTGATCACTCCATGCATATGGGGTGGTGTGCGATGAATGAATGTAGGTTTCATCCATGTAGATGACTGGGCGGCCCTCTTCCCTATATTCTTTAATTTGCCGCAAATACTGAAGACGTTTGGCTCTGATATTAAATCGTTCCACCAGTATCTGCCGATTATTTTTTGTTTTCTTCCACCGCAACCCCAGTTTCAAAATAATTTTCTTTAATGTGGAGATGCATCCCTGAAAATCTAACGTTTTCTTAAACTTTTCGTGAACTTTTTCAAGGTAGGTATCTGTTTTTTTGACTATGTAGAAGTCATTAAATGTTCTTCGCACCACAGACTCATTAAAGTTGTCCGAAGTGGATATTTCCTAGGTCTTTCTTTATGGGGTGTTGAAAAGGAAGTGGAAGCCCCAGATTCGATATTTTTTGTTTCTCTTATTATTCTTCTGACACTACTTTCCGATACACCTGTTGCCTTTGCTACTTGCACTCCTATGTGCTTCACTGTAATTGTTGGCCCAGCCTCTTTCATATACTTATATACATTGCTAACAATTTCTCTTGATTGTGAATGCAACACTTTTCCACCGAATTTACTTCGTGTTGGTGGCATGTTAAAGGAGATAGAAAAAATGTACAAATATAAATAAACAAAAAAGAAAATCAACGAATAATAATAAACAATAAAATAAAATATTGTCACATGTCACCACTTGACTTCTGGCCCACTACTTCAATGCGACGTCTCAACTATCTTTGGCCGTGGTGGGATCTCAACTGTCTTCAGCGACGGCTACCCCAATACTGACTCCTTCCTGTCTTCTGTCTCTGTAGCTCTCAGCTTATGTAGGTGTTCTACAGAATGGGTACCAGACACCATTCTTCACTCTTTCCTTTCTACTGTCCACTGTTATGTAACGGGCGCAACAAACTCTCTGTAGTTCATTTCTGGGGAGACGCATTTGTTGCTTCTGCACTGTCTATGCAACGGCTCTGTTCTTTGCGTTACCATGGAAATGCCTATTCCAAACTCACGTGTTTGGCAATCCGTTGCCTCGGGAACGCGGCTTCACCACGGTCTGTTGCTGTTGGAACTCAAATATTTCCATTGTAGCCGTTGCGCGGCGATGGACATAAGGTAACGCGTCACAATATTACTACAGTAATTAGAGAATAATACACTCAAATACGACTCCAAGAGTCAAAACTTTTTAACTTGACTGTACAAGGAAGAATGCTCTTGAGACGTCTACTCGCACTGAATGCAGACAAATGACTAATCACAACACCCCTCAACTTTCATGAATGGACCTGCCCATCCACTGCGCAGCTTTTCCTGGACTGTCACTTCAAAATACTAGAACTTTAGATATGGAGAGAGCACTAAAAATCTACAGCATATCATCATGGCCACTGCTGTTCAAGAGCATGTGAACTATCCATATGGCCAGGAAAGGACCAACAAGTAATGTTGCTTCTGACTCATAATTATTCTGTGATTTGGTGCTTCAGTTACTTTAATCACACACTATACACATCACATCACATACTATACACATCAAATGGTCTCATGTTGACATTCAGATTATTAATTTCATGGAGCAGTCTGTCTTGAGAAACAAACACTTGTTAAGAAATTCACTGTGTTTGTAAGAACAAACTGGCCCTATTCTGAGCACAATGCATTCAGTCTTCTCACAGAGACCCTATATCATTACTATACATTTAAATATTATCTTCTCATAAACCCTAGGTCTCCAAAGTGGACTTCCAGTAGGTTCATCAACAAGAATTATATATGCATTCTCATTTTTTCTCTGTGCTATATGCCTTAACCATTTCACTCTCCTTAATTTGATACCCTGATAATACATATGATGCAGAGTATAAATAGCGTAGTAGCATAGTGGTTGAGGAGCTATGGTACAAGCCGGAAGGTTGCGAGTTCAGGTCCTGATGAGGTCATCATTCANGCGGGGCGGGAACTCGCCTATTACCGTAGTAACGCGAGCGTTACGTTACCGCCACGTACCGCTGGGGAGGTAGGGGTCAACATGTCACATTATTATTATTATTAGAGGAAGTGGGTTTCCCCATGCACTGCGACTAATAGTCTATTGTACGTCTCCCTTTCATATTCTACCAGTCGCCATACCCTGCCGGTACTGGTGCTCACTATCAGCCCCGTTCAGCCAGTGAGGCTGGCAGTGGTACCCGAATACTTCCCCATCTACTGGAGGTATTGGGAAGTACTTGGGCGGGAAACTTTGCCTAATTTTGCTCAGAGGTCTCCTAGACACATGAGGATCTTTTACGTGCCGTAAATCTACGACACGGGACCCACAGCTTAAAGTCCCTCCCAGAGGACTTGTTCCCTGAATATTTCCACCCTTAAATATTCCGCGACCTCCGACAGGTTTGAACCCATGTAACTTGAGTCATTAGGTGGGAACGTTACCCCTAGATTATGGAGGCAGCTTAGGCCCTGGGGTTTACTCAGCCTCTAACAGAAATGAGTACCAGGAATTAATTAAATAATTTTCCTGGGGAGTAAAGCGCAGCCGGTGCGTAGGGCTGACAACCTTACCACCATCTTTGAGCCAATTGTCTAGACAATGTGGAACCCTCAACGTCTCACAACCCTATGGGCCTTCACGGCCTGGTACAGGGATAGCTTTACTTACTTTTTATATTATATTGTCCTGCAATATGGCACTAAAACATGAACGTATTGTGGCATGCCGCCAGAAAGCCAGAATGGTTGATTTCCTAGGTAACAAGCGATGTTCCCACTATTCTGTATTTCAGCATCCTGTTGCACATTTTTATTAAATGTCTATGTATCTATCCCCATCATCTTCATAGAAAAACAAGAGAGTTATAAATACACACAATTTGCTACCAGTTTCATCATTAACTGAACCACCCAAAAGTGATGATTTAACTTTCAGATGTTTCCAACTATGAAAGGATGGCCAAATAATACATCACTCCTAACCTCTAAAACAAAGTTACTGCCTGTATCAATACAACCTACCCACGAGCCCCCAGGAAATGCTATCATCACCTGCTGAGGTTATGACACTTGAGATCTGTTGCATAAAACAATAAGAGAAACGAATACTGACCTAGAGTGTTTTTATTGCTATTGGGGTGGGACTAAGTCCCTTGTACTGCAGCCACTTCTGGCCTATTGTACTAGCCCCAGATGATAGGTGAGAGTGATTGTGGAGCAGTTGGTGGAATGAAGATTGGCAGGGGAAACCTAAGTACAAAGAGAAAACCTGCACCACTTTGTCCACCACAAATCCCACTTGACCAGACCCGGGATCGAACCCAGCCCGCCATGTTGGGAAGCCAGCGACTAACCGCTTGAGCTGTGGCGTGGCCCGACCTAGAGTGTTACAGAAAGAATATAATCTCACACATGAAACATTTTGATACTAACCACTTCCACCATTTTACTGGAGTCATGCATCAGATTTTCCAGTTCTTCTCGTAATCTTTGAGTCCAACTGAACTGCAAGGCTCGACAACTGTATCGGCCGAGAAGTTGTAGAAGAAGGCAACTTCGAGCTCGCAGCACAGGACTATGATGCATTAGCATTTGGGTCAAATCAATTGCAGAGTATCCTAGAACAAATTTTATTTATACAGAGTGCGTGCGAAGTGTGAAACTAACACCACATTTCTGTTTTGTGTTAGTGTAGTACAACATAATGCCTTCAGCATTAGGAGAATGTACTGAGATTATTTCAAAAGGTTATCCAATTCTGTCCAGTGTGACTAATGGTTTTTTCTTTTTAATCTTTTATCCTTTACATGTTTCAGCTCTATAGACCATCTACAGAAGGATATCAATAAAATTAGAAACCATTATTACAATATGTTTTTTGAATATTAATATGTATATACAATGTCATCATAATACAATGTACAAATCTAATGTTTTTTAACAACTACAGTGGCTTGTACCAACACATTAAAATATTTATTACAGTTATGTAGGTGAGTCAACAAGTAAGTTACAAATTGTTGTGGGGTACTACATGTTTGAATGAGGCACTTGAGGCTTTTGCCACTAGATGGCAGCATTAGTCCAGTGGCAATTGATGTTTGCAAAAGCGAAACAGCAGTTGCAAGATGGCGGCGCCTGTCAGTGAGTGTACAACCCTCGAGCAGCGCTCCATTGTGCAGCTTTTGTGGGCAAAAGGTATGGAATCAAAGAATATAAAGAAATGCTTCCCATCTATGGTGAGAAGTGCCTGTCATGTCAAGCTGTTTACAATTGGGTGCAGAAGTTCTCTGAAGGGTGGACACGTATCAAAGATGAAGACTGCGTTGGCCGGCCAATGGAGAGTGCCACAGAGGTGAATGTGCAGTGGGTTGAAGACTTAATTTGAGCAGACAGAAGGGTAACCATAGACACTATAGTTACTGCTATTGGTTGTTCAAACGGCATGGCCTACCTCATAATGCATGACACATTAGGTTTTCACAAAGTGTGTGCATGATGGGTGCCATGCATGCTGACCCCACAACACAAAATGCAAAGAATGGGTCTGGTATTACAGCATCTCAATCGCTACCATGATGGACATGATATGCTAGCCCAAACTGTTACAGGTGATGAGTCTTGGGTTCACCATTACCAGCCCGAGACAAAACGTGTGTCAATGCAGTGGAAACATCCCGCGTCGCCTGCCAAAAAAGTTTAAGGTGACACCATCCTCCAAGAAAGTGACGCTCACAGTCTTCTGGGTCACGAAGGAATACTGCTCACCACATTCCAGCCTCAAGACAAACCATAAACGCCAACTCGTACTGTAACATACTCAGGAAACTTCATAAGGCCATTCAACGGAAGCGACCAGGACTCCTCACCAAAGGCGTGTTGCTCTTGCATGACAATGCGCGTCCCCATACTGCCAAAAAGACAAACGAGATGCTGCAAAATTTCAAGTGGGAAGTCCTCGAGCATCCTCCATATAGCCCTGACCTTGATCCAAGAAACTTCCATTTGTTTAGCCCTCTTAAATATTATCTTTCAGCTGAACATTTTCCTGTTGATGAAGCTGTAGCAAGATAAGTCACCACCTGGTTCTGAGAGCAGCCTAAAGAATTTTATGCTACTGGTTTTCTAGGGCTTGTGAAAGGATGGGACAAGTGTCTCAATGTACAGGGAGATTATGTTGAGTAATAAAAGCATTTTTCAAATCAGTACTCTTATTTGTTTAAGTTCTATATCCATTTGTAACTTATTTATTGACTTACCTCGTAGTATATTCAAAAATGTTAAAATTTTTAAACCAAATTGGTTCATGTCCCTTCTATTTCCTCTCCCTGAAGGAAGCCAAGTGTCCACCACCCCACTGTTCCATTGTTTGGAGAATAGATTTTTGCAAATACATTATGGGTATAATGTAGTATTTCTATGATCCCTATTTTGTTTTTTATGTGAGCTTGTTATTTTGTCCTACCTTCAGTGTCATCTTGTTGACGTTTGAGACACACTGTAGTTGTTAAAAAAGCATTAAATTTGTAGATTGTATTATGATGACATTGTATGTACATATTAATATTCGAAAAACATACTGTAACAGTGGTTTCTAATTGTATTGATATCCTTCTGAAGATGGTCTACAGGGCTCAAACATGTAAAGGATAAACGATTAAAAAGAGAAAACCATCAGTCACACTGGACAGAATTGGATAACCTTTGCAATGTTGTTAGTGTGACAGACCAGAATGAAACAAATCAAACTTACTGAGATTATTTTTTGCAAACATTACAGTCGGATCCAGAGACAAGTAGCAGATAAATACAGGAATGGGGGGGGATACGTTTTATACAGTCTTGGCCCCGCCTATTCCGCTGGTCATGAACCACCACTGCTGCAGCTACAACTCTACTTTGATGTAAGGGGCAGGATGCATCTTGCTTATCTTATTACAAACCTCAACTTTGCACAGTGCATTTTTCATATGTTCATGAACGAGGCTCTGGGATACAATTCATGGGGGTGAAACCATTACTTCTCTAGAGCATGTACAAGAGATCTAAAGCCCCAGAAAACGTGTAAACAACACATGATCTTTTGGGGGGGGGGGCCAGAAAATTTATGTTTCAGCCAATTGATATTATTATTACTAATCTCCTTAGAGCATGGGTTCTCAAGCTTTGTGATAGTGCAACCTCCCTAAAATAATACACAAGTGTATCCTCCCCACCCCAACATCACCAGTCAGCAAAAAGTGCAGTTCTGAACAGTGTTGCAAGTCTCTATCAGACAATACAGTGACAAAAGTAAAATAAATATTATATTTAAGCATCCTGTTGCACTCTACACGATAAATGATACAAACTCCGTCCTAAGTGCAAACAATATATATTATATGTCTTTGATCTTGTTCTTTCTACACTACATGTTTCGGCCTCTATCGGCCATCATCAGGTGTATACTCTTAACGTTGCTGCCACACTGAACCCAGTCTAAAATTTAACATTTAAAAACACAATGTCACATTCTTCGTATTATCAACATCTACATCGTTGATATGTGTCTGGTATGTAGATATTGTATTGCACACGTCAAATTTGATATTCTTGTAGTAGCACTCTAAAAATGTTTAGTTATGATGTTTTTAAAACCTTTTAAAATTTTCTCTAAATTTAAAATTTAGAGAAAATTTTAAAAGGTTTTAAAAGGTCTAAATTTAAAATTTAGAGAAAATTTTAAAAGGTTTTAAAAACATCATAATTAAACATTTTTAGAGTGCTACTACAAGAATATCAAATTTGACGTGTGCAATACAATATCTACATACCAGACACATATCAACGATGTAGATGTTGATAATACGAAGAATGTGACATTGTGTTTTTAAATGTTAAATTTTAGACTGGGTTCAGTGTGGCAGCAACGTTAAGAGTATACACCTGATGATGGCCGATAGAGGCCGAAACATGTAGTGTAGAAAGAACAAGATCAAAGACATATAATATATATTGTTTGCACTTAGGACGGAGTTTGTATCATTTAAAATAAATAGCTTTACATCCTCTTTATACTTGCAGTAAGTTATTTATAAAACGTTCCTGTATAGTCATGACAAAAAACTGAAATGTTTTGTCTGGTTGCTGCTATATTTTATATGAGCACCTATACCAAAACTTACCAACTTGATAAAAACTGTGCATGGATACAACTAACTTTTAATTGATTCTTGAGAATATGGTGATCCCCACCCTTAGATGAGGTCATGACCACAGCATTAGAAATCCTGCCTACAGCATTCAGAGCAGAACAACAGTCTTTTTGTTACTTTAATTTTTCATTATTGATACTTAATATATTTCTTTTCTTTTTTCAATTGTTTTTATTTCCCACCAACAATTTAGGAAGACAGCAGATGCCTGATTTTTCACCCACCAGTGACCATGTTATCACCATATACAGTCTAATAATTTTGCTGTAAACCATCCAATGTAATCATGATCTTGCAATTCAGACTACCTCAGCAATAGAGTAGTTTCCTGAAGAGAAAAGGATTGGGGAGATAATCACCAAACCATAAAAATGAAGGCAATGCTCCAACACCTACCATGATACAGTGCTGGTATGTCAATACCTATTCCAGAAGACCAATACATAATCACATTTCAAAAGATGCCTCTGTGACCTGATCATCAAAAAGTAGATATATCTGCTCTAGATGAAAAAATGGAAATACATAACTCACTTATACATTTTCTTATACTTTCTAAATAAAATTATTCTCTTACACAGTCTTATCTCTAGCAGTTTCATCTGCAATTCAACTTATGATTTTTCTCAGGGCTTTTACTTTCAATATAGCTAAACATGTTAAAAATAATTTTTCATTCCGTTTCTCAGCACTTGTCTGGTTATATATTTTGAAAAATAACCACCAGCCATTCATATCAACATACAATCTGTTTTCCATAATAATATGGAAATACTGAAACTTTTAAGAATATTTTTGAGCATATAGAGTTAGAAGCTGAACTTTCATACAGCTTGCTTCTTTCAATTGTATGTAAAACTGACCTTACCTTCTTCATCCACTCCCAGCACAATCTGCTCAATAAGACCAGCATTCTCAGGCAGTGCTCGAAGAACATGGGACAAAATAGCCACCAGATCAGTAACAACTCTCACTTTCCTGCGACCCAATAACAAGAACTGTTGAAGGAGAGATGTGGCATTGAGGATGGCTACAGCATCACAAAACTGAATCAGGAAGTCTTCAGCAGCATACACCAGATAGCAGAGTAACAGATAGATACACTCCAGGGCTTGAAGTTCATCTGCATTAAGATCAGGGTTCCTATTGGAGGATGGGCTGGGATCATCATTGACACAATCCTTTTGGTAAGCAAGTAATTTTGATGCATACACTAGGTTAGGGACTATCTTCGCCTCAAGATATACCTGTTCAAAAATAAAACACCAAAACTAAAGATGAGAAGAAAGGAAATGCTGTTTATTTCCAATAATATTATTTTTGTTCACAAAGCAGTATACACCTAGTAGATTAAATATTCTCATGCAATGTCAGCAATGTTTTAGGGACCATCTCTGTCCCCATCATCAGAGACAGAGACAGTCCCTAGAACACTGGTAATTTTTTAATTAATTGACATAGATGATAGCCCAAGAAGATTTTATCAACTTTAGCCACCATGAAAGCTTGAGAGCTTACATAAATATATTTCTAATTATTATTTTATAATTTATTTTATGATTATTTTCAGATTTTACATAAGTATACAATACACCTACTTATTATTTTGTGGAGAAGGAATTTATCATTATTCAAACTACAAAATGAGACCATAATTTGTGTAACCATCTGTAACCTTTGTTATAAAAATTAAAACAAAGAGTCATGTACATCAATTTGTTTGATTAACTGTAACATTCCTTTGAACGTTCCCTAAAAAGATTTTTACATGCTAACTCTTTTTATGCATTAAATGAGTATTTTAATTACAAATGTATATAAATTTGAATGTTTTAACGCTGTATTTTAAAATAGCTGGTATGGGAGATGTGAGGGGTTGTATTGTGGTTACTTGTGAATTATGTCTGTTAATCAGGATATTTCTTTTTACCAGCAAATTGGACTTAAATTTGAGGAAGAAACTAGTGAAATGCTACATTTGGAGCATAGCTCTGTATGGGGCTGAAACATGGACACTTAGGGCAGTAGATCAGAAACATCTGGAAAGTTTCGAAATGTGGTGTTGGAGAAG